CGTTCTATCATAAAATAACAACTCCACGAAATACTAGTTTCCCGACCCCTGTTAATTTTAAATTGTGAACAATTAATTGAAGAACTGATAGAATTTCTGGAGCATTTATCAGACTGAAATACCCACTGAAATCGCCAACAATGCATTCTGCAGTAGATTTTTTTGCAAAACACAATTTTCAGTGATCAGTCGATGGAGATGTATTTGAATGCTGTGTACACAAAGCCTTGGTCAAGAGCGCCAGCATTCCTTATCGGATTGTTATTCTCATTCATTTTTGTCAGCGACAGCAAGTTGGACAAGGTAATTGTGTTATCACGAATTTCTTAACAAATCATATCATAGTGTGAAATCTGCAGATAAAAATTTACGTTAATCAAAAACCATAACGAATAAATATATGCGGAAAGCCTAAACTTGCATGTGACTTTCGTTAGAAGCTTCATTAGAAGCGGATACAATCGTGAAGAATACCTTTTTTCAAGTCAAAGATTCCGTAGGATTAGCATTCATAGTTTTCATAGATTTCATATTATTCAAAGTATTAGCACTTCATAGTATTCAAAGATTCCATAGTATTAAATTATCACATTATTAGCTCATTTCATTCGTTTCACGTGTTAATAATGCTCGAATGTATATTAATAATGATAGATTATGTTAATTGCAGATTATTTCTATAGTCATTTTGTTTCTGTTCGTTATTGTTGGTCTCTTCATCGTATTCGCAATATTCCCGTTTGCGTTGAACATGAAAGCTTCGTCGCAGTTCCTGATGGCACTTTATGCATCAGTACATCGATCTGTATGGTGTGCGATTATTTGTGCGATGATATACGTTTGTTACCGGAAAAGTGGACGTAAGTCTTCTGCAAATCAGTCCAGTATCGGTTCAAAACTGCAGTTCACAAAGATTTTTGCATAAAGAATTGTGAATTTCATTTTTTTAAACGAGTTCTTTTTCATCGATCACCTTATCATCGAGACAGATCAAATTCATCGATCGTCCATAAAGGTCGAGGGCTTGCTTCTAGAATATAGTGGTTTTAGGCGAATTCGGAGCATTTCTTGAATGGCGTATTTTTAATCCGTTGTCGAAGCTAACATATTTGGTGTTCGTACTCAGTGAACCCGTTTCACTGTTTCTGTTCTCGTCATTGCATCGACCTGTGTACGCCACACATTGGTCAACGGTAAATTTTCAGCTATTCATATTATGAAACTTTGTTTGGTATGGGGCTGATGAAATGCTTTTTCATTAAAAATCACTTACGGAGCAGAGTTCATATATCTTGTAATGAGACGTAGTCGACGTTTAGGATATCGCTTCAGTGATTGTCGCGTTGTATGAGATCTCATGGAAACGATATTGAACCTTTGAATGTTCGGATTAAATTTTCCAGTTTGCGATTGTATCAATAAAATTGAAAGCATGTTTCAGTTTTATATTGCTCTCGGAACGATTGTGCTATCGTATATTGTCGCTATCGCTTTGGATGTATTGATAGCAAGACCTATGCGAAATCTGCTAATCTTCGTGATCGGTCCTTATCTAAACGAAAACAAGTCGTCTTATGAGAAGGCTTGTACGAACGGTAAGGAACCTCACTGAAGCCCCTCGAAAAAAAAGAGTTTTTATTTAAACTATCAATGCTGCGATCATATCTACGAGATTAAAAGTTTTCACCTGTCTGTGTATAAATGTAATATGTTGGTGACGATCTAACTCTTATTTGAAATCCAATCACTTGATAATGCTTGAAGCATGTATGAATGCACACGAACGCTGTTCTTTTCAGCTGATTCTGTATGAAACGTTTTATTTCGCCAATATATCGGAATATCATTAGATAAACTTTCTTCTGTTCACTCAAACACATATCTCATGCCACATTTATACTTTGATTTGAACGACATGTCATCAATCTCAGAACTAACCAAATTGAGTTATTTGCATAGTGTATGATCAACCGTGCTTGTTTGAAAATCAACTCACTGGATGAGTTCATGACTGTGTGAGTGAGGTGCTGTTGATTGATCGCGTTCATCAGATCATTGTTCCCTTTGCTCAGTTCGAACAGTTCATTCACAACAATGCCAAATAATAGAATTGAGCATCAGTCCGGTTGGTAACAATGAATCAATGACCCATCAATACGGAACTCATCTGTCACCTTCATTTGACAATAGGATAAAATGAGTGTTTCGTCTTGATCACCGATCATTATCGTCTTAAGAAATTCATCCACCTATATGGTAACAATTATCTTCATGATATTCTACACTTTTTGTTTGGTTGAGATTTGCCTGAGACGTGTCATAAATCAGCCGTGTTATATGCGCACAAATGAGTGCGGGTATGAGTTAAGTGAGTTGAGAAACCAGTTAGGATTGGAGAGCAATTCCGAGTAAGGCATTTTCGACTCGCACCGGTTAATGGATGTGTGGGAAGTGGTGAAATGTCCGTTGCAAAAGCAATTTAACTGAAAAAAAATGATAGTAATCTGCAGGATTCATAATAATATTGGGTTCATGAAAAAATCTTCATGAAGTATCAGATTACGTACGTAGATATCCCAATGAATCGAAGTGAATGACCTGAATTGATCAATTTTCAAAACGAACACGAGACTTTTTTCATAGCTCTTTTCTGGTTCATCAAGCAAATCTTAATGCAA